ACCTTAATTATTATTTTTTTATTATTAAACTTAATAATCAAAATTCAAATAATTTAAAATCAATTCAATTTAATTTTAATCAAATAAACTTAAAACCTAATCAAAACTCATTTATCAATTACGATTGTTCATTTTAAAATTTTTTTTGGGTTACAAACCTTTTAACCCATTTTTAATTGTGATATTTTTACTAAAGGACAAGTAATTAATCAATATACCTAAGCGTGCCGAACAGATTACATTGTGAATTGTGCGAAAAAATAATAAGGAAACCACTGGAATTATATTAAATTATAATAATAAAATTAATATAACTACAATGTCATTTTGTAATATTTCATATTATTTGGGCAGCTTCACAATCCAACACTGTTGAAGTCTTCAGCTGCTTCTACACCTGAAAATCTCGAGGATATTTCCTCGGGGGAAAGCACTCCAATGCTCAAGTCAACAATACTCGATATTCTAGAGAAAGATGCTCTTAAGGAGTAATTGCAGAGAGAGAAGCGTAGAGATTAATTACCTCTCTTGTTGGTGGTTGGGGGTATTTATAGCCCCAAATGCTGACATGCATCTCTACATGTGAGTAATTTATTGGCCCACGTGGGCAGGTCTCCTCCTCTTGGGCCTGTGTGTGCGTAGTTGGACCTGTTATATGTGGCCCAAAATGGGCGTTGGGCCTAATCCCAACATTACTTCCCCCTCAACGTTCGGTTGACGAACTGGATGGAGAGTCTGGTCAGCATGGCGTTTGGCCCTAAAGATGAGGAGGGATACTTTGCGCTCATGAACGACCTCACGTATGGACGGCCTGACCGGCTTGAAGGCATGGTGCCTGGCCAGATGTGCCAGTGCACGCTGGCCTTATTCCGAGCAGGTGTGAGGAGTTGGTTTTACGACCGGTCGAGCTCGGTGCTAGTTAGAGGGTCGAGCAGCCGCGCAAGAGTGACCTTGCATGAGGAGTTCCCTGCGACGGAGCTGAGGCGAGCAGATAGTGAACGAGCTGAACGCACCGACCCTAGACGGGCAGAGAATAGCGACCACACTCGTCACTTCGATATAGGTCTCTGGGATACAGAGCAGAACCTGAGGTGAATCCATGATTTGTGCGACCTAATCTCCAGAGGTTTTTCGAATTTAGTAACGAGTTGATTTCTCGAGATTTTCAAGTTTTGAATTTTGGCAGATCTGTGAGGAGATCGTGGATTTGTTACGAGCTGGGCCCTTGGACTTTTCAAAATTTGCACTGTGGTGAATCTATGAGGAGATTTGCCTAAGTCTCAAATTTGTTACGAGCTGATTATTGAAGTTTGTCGCGATATGATCCTTCGGATTTTTCGACGATTGTGGCGAATCTGTGAGGAGATTTGCTCAGAGCGTTTGGTATTCACCTGCTTTTAACAGATACCCTTTTGCCTCCCCGCAATAAATGCTGGCTCAGCATTTGAGGGGACGTGACAGCTGCAAACGGCGCATTTTGGATTTTTAACCATAAATGGTTGCCACATGGTCGTGTTGGACTGGGGGGCTGTAAACACGCGTACGGTGTTTACAGGGCGCCATCTGAACGGCCAAAACAAAACAAACAAAACAAACAGTTTGTTACGTTTTTCATTTCATTACACAGCATATTCGTACGTTTTTCCTTCTAGTGCCACAGAGACATTCACGACCATTTTCCAGATTTCCAGCGAAAACACCTTCAACTACTCAGGTAAAAATGGCTTCTTTCCACGATGCACGAGAGTTCCGGGGTAACCAAGGTGAAGAGGAGGATGTCGATGTGATATCCGTGGAGCCTATCGCGATGATAGTGCCACCGGAGTTGCAGGATTCGCCTAGAATCGCCGCGCCTGAGAATGACGCCCGTTTGAGCGTAAGTGGTGGTTCTGAGGACCACCAGCCTTCAACCTCCAGTGATTCATCCACGGAAGAGACAGCGAGTGAAGCGGAGGGCGTTGAGGAGGTTGGTTGCAGTGCACCGGCGACAAGTGCAGCAACGGAGGTGGTAGTGTTTGAGGGATGGGAAAGCAAGGTTCTCAGTGGGAGGCTGAGCAATCTCTGCAAAGCTCCCAAAACACTACCGGCCGGGTTCAGGTTCAGGGCGGCACTGCATCACGAAGTTGCAGATGGCGCGGCAACAATGAAGGGGTATATAAAATTAGAAGAGATGGTGAGGAGGTACCAGATCCCCAGAACCATCTTGATCCGAGCTGGGACATCGAACAAGCGGGCGTGCTCAGTGTCGCGGACGGGCTGGGTGCCAGTGTACGTAGACCATTTTGACGCTGGTCTACGTTTTCCTCTGCCCGGACTAATTTTTGACGTCCTGGCAGAGTACGAGCTGGCCCTTTCGCAACTTACTCCCAACAGCATAAAGTTCATCATAGGCTTTATGCTGTTGTGCAAAAGGCTGGGGATACCTGCAAAGGCGGTGGTCTTCAGGTCGCTCTTCCTGTGCTGTTTGTGCCTGTCAACCAATGGGACGAGGTGGTACTACATCTCGGGCAGGGAGAAGATGATGATATTCACCAATATCAGAAATAAGGTGGCGAGGTGGAAGAGACAGTTCGTGTTCGTGCGGGATATGCGAACTGACAGGATTAACAACAAGCTGGCCGCCCGTCTGTCAGAATGGCGTACACCGAACACATACATGAACTACCCCCAGCTGACCAGTGGTGATGTCGACCTGAAGAACCGGCTGCTCGACTATGTGAAGGCGAGGGGTTTGGTAGATCTGGAGGCCTTGGTTACCCCGGACCAGATCGCACTTCTAAGGTTTGTCGACGTGGCAAACCTTCATGGAGAAGGTATACTTCTATAACATAGCAGGATTTCTAGCCGACATGAATCTTATGTTTTTATTTGTGCAGGAGAAATGAGCAGCATCCTCGAGAGGCAAAGACAGCGAGCTCAGGGTTCCCGTGGTCGCGGGCAGCAGAGGCAGACACGGTTTGACGAGCGGCCGCTTGCAGCCCCTGGGCACGGCTCTCAGCATAGAAGCACCAGCTCGGCACAGAGGCCGCGTGCCGAGCATAGAGTTGAGCCTGTGCCCTCCAGCTCTAGAAGGCGTGTGAGGGAAGACTCTGATGCTGACGTGGAGGACAACGTTCCGCTCATCCGGCGTAGGACAAGCACCGGCACGCAGCCCGCCTCCGCCGATGCTGCACGACTTGCGAGCGTGCACCAGGCGCCAGCTCGTGAGGCTGCTGAGGCCGCACCAACCTCATCGTCTGTTGTGGGGCCAAGGTTTGCATACCCGGACGGCTTCATTTATGCCTAGACTGAGTGCCAGGCTGCTATGCTGCAGGATATGCAGAACTTTGTGCCCCCTGCAGACCGGCTGCGTGCAAAGGGGCACGTTCAGCAGCATGGAGGACATGCTACGCTGATAAAGCTGATGGATGTAAGTATACTTGGCGAGCTCATCACTATGTTTTATCCTGTTTTTACTATAAACTGATGAGTGAGTATGTATTGCAGGTGTTCAGCTATACTGTCGCACTCTTCGAGTGCGAGTAGGGGGCGAGAGCTTAGAACAACGAGCTTCAACAAAGCTACAAACAACTGGCCTCTGAAAAAGCCAGCTTGGCTGACGAGGTCAGTCGTTTGCAGAGCTCGGAGATGGTGAACCGAGCAACGTCAGCTGAAGGAAGAGCTCCAACGGGCTCAGGCGGAGAAGGAAAGCGGCATTCAAGCTGCTAAGGAGGAGACCGGACGTGCAGAGGACTGGGCTAAGAGGGCAGAAGCTGAGAGAGAAAGGACTCTGCACGAGCTGGGCACCCTGAGAGATAGGGTCTCCCAAGCAGACCAGCACGTCGTTTGGGGTGAGGCGTCCCTGGAGAGCACAAAGAGGCTTCACCAGCGCGACGTCTACTTTTCCCGTGCACAGGGGGCTGAGTGGCTGGTGGGGGCTGAAATGTTCCAGGACGCCGTCGCAGTCGCCTCTGCTAACACCACCACGGACATTTTCAATGAGGTTTGTGGGAAGGTGTTGCGGGTCCGGGCTGACTTCTAGATTGGCGAGCTGGCTTTCTACGAGGGCGAGGAGATCGATAGTGAAGGGAAAAGTCTCGCCTCTCCAGCAGATACAAGGGTTAGGCTGAAATGGGAGCTCAATGAGGAGGGGCTGCCCGTGTGGCCCCCTGCTATAGTGGAAGAAGGGGAGGACACAGAGGGGTTGCCAAGCTTTGACGCTTGGGTGGCAGGCCCCCAGGACGTGTCTACTGAAACTTCTAGCACTCCTCCTGCTCAGCCTCAACCTCCGCCCGCTGCAGCCACTGTTTCTGCTTCTTCTCCGCCAGATCGGCCATCTCCTGCTCGGTCTACTTCAGAGCCCAACAACGCATCCGTTCCCGTCGACCTGACGGATGATTAGCTTAGGATTTTTGTTGTTTTTGTATTTCTTTTTTGTGTTAATCAATGAATTCGTTTACCAATGTACTACACATATAAAATTTCATTGATGAAATACAAATCCGAATCTTTTGCTTCAATATTTCTGCGTTGAATGATTAGTAAATCACTGTTTACAACTGATCAGTAACGACCTGAACACTAACAACATACATGCTAACTGTAAAACTTCCTAAGATTATGTATGTTCCAAATAAACGATAATGGGTGACCTTCTAAATCTGCCAACTGGTAAGATCCAGGTCGCTGAATGGAAATAACCATATAAGGCCCTTCCCAATTAGGAACGAGCTTGCCCATGTGTGAATAGGCATTGGTCAATCCAGCTTTGCGTAGAACCAGATCGCCAACCTGAAATTGTCGAGCTCGAACTCTTTTGTTATAGAACTTTGCCACACGGCTTTGGTGTGCCATGTTTCTAATTCGAGCCATTTCCCTAACTTCCTCCACTAGGTCTAGGTTCTCTCTTAGGAGTTGCCCATTATTCTGATCGTCATGACGATCTGATCTAGCAGATGGCAGACCGACTTCGACAGGGATGACGGCCTCAGCTCCATATGCCAAGCTGAACGGGGTTTCGCCTGTGGTCGAGCTGGGTGTCGTGCGACATGACCAAAGTACTTTATTGAGCTCGTCAACCCAATTAGAACGCGCGGCTATAACATGCGCCTTGAGGCCTCGCAAAACGATCTTATTGGCAGACTCGGCCTGTCCGTTTGACTGCGGGGTGTACACAAACGTTAAGGAGAGCTCAATGCCATAGTCGTTGCAGAATGATCTCAGTGCTGCTGCCCGAAACTGTGGCCCATTGTTGGCAATAATCCGCTTAGGTATGCCGAACCTGCACTCAAATGACCGAGCTGAGCTAGGAACTATGTTTGCATATATTTTATTTATGACTTAAGCCACCAAAGAATACCTGCACAATATTGAATTGAACAAGAATTCTTCTATTTTCCTTTCTGTTGTCGTGGACAATGGTTTAGTTTCTATCCATTTAGTGAAGTAATCCACTGCAACGACCAGGAAAGTGCAGCCTCCTTTGCCTTTCACAAAAAGGCCGAGCAGGTCGATTCCCCATTGAGCAAAAGGCCAGGGAGATGAGAGTGATGAGAGCATTTCCCCTGTTTCCATGAAGGTACTTATGCTTAGTTTATAGAAAGACATGAAGTTCGCACGAACTTTAGAACGAGCTCAGATACCTGGCATGTGAATGTCATCAGCATTGAACTGGCAGGTTGGGCACTTTTTGACATAGTTCTGTGTGTCCTCAACCATAGTTGGCCAGTAATACCCATGCCTCAAGAGCTTCCGAGCTAAGGTTTTGCCTCCAATGTGCGTGCCACATACTCCTTCATGAATTTCTCTCACATCATATTCAGCTTCATAAGGAGTGAGACAGCGTAATAGGGGCATAGAGGCTGCCCGCTTGTAGAGCTGATTATCTATCAAAGTGAAATGTGCCGCCCTGCGTCTGACCAGCTTTGCAACGGACTGATCTTCAGGTAGCTCACCACTTTGTAAATAACTTATCAGCGGGGTGATCCAGCTCGGTGTAGAGGGGTCTGTACTCAACAGTTGGCACTCGGCTGCGAGATCGGTGTAACTTGGGGCGTCAAGCACCTCGACGATTGTCGACCTCTGAGGGTTAAGGTCCTGTGAGGAGGCCAATTTGGACAGCTCGTCGGCTCGGTGGTTATCTGCTCTTGGTATTTTATCAATTTGAAAAGAGACAAAGATTGACTTCAATCTACTGACCACAGAGGCATAACGATCGAGCTGGGGATCCCTGACTTCACAGTTGCCATTCACCTGGCCCACGACGAGCTGAGAGTCGCTAAAGACTTGAATGCTTTGTACCTTCAGCTCGGACGCCAGCTTTAATCCGTAAATGAGGGCTTCATATTTTGCGGCGTTATTAGTCATCTGAAACTTAAATCTCAGCGCGTGCTCAGATTTGAAACCATCTGGGCCCACTAACACAGCCCCGGCACCTGATCCTTCAATGCTAGCGGCTCCATCAACATACAAAACCCAGATTGGGTGCTCAGGTGCTTTTTCTTCCTTAGTTGCTGAAATGCATTCCACCAGAAAGTCTGCAACGGCCTGGCCCTTTATGGTTGTACGCGGCTGAAATTTGAGGTCATATTCACTCAGCTCGACACTCCACCCAATAAGCCGACCAGAGAGTTCAGGTTTCTGCAATATTTTTCTTAATGGCAAATCGGTATAGACGACAATCTGATGTGATTGGAAATAAGCCCTCAACTTACGAGCTGTGTACACCAGGGCAAATGCAGCCCTTTTCTGCTAATGGGTAGTTCTGCTCTACACCTTGTAAAATCTTGCTCACGTAGCAGATAGGCTTCTGATTCTTATTCTCCTCCCTGAGCAGAACCGAGCTCACTGCCTCTCCTATAACCCCTGTGTATAGGTATAAACTCTCCCCTTCCATAGGCTTAGACAGTAGGGGTGCAGATGCCAGATACTGCTTGAGCTCGTTAAACGCCTGCTGACACTTGTCGGTTCATTAAAAGTATTTGGGCTCTCGCAAGGCTTTGAAAAACGGTAGGCACCTTTCCGCCGACCTGGCTATGAATCTGTGCAAAGCGGCTATACGACCTGTCAAGCATTGCACATCCTTTACTGTCTTGGGTGGCTCCATCTGCTGAACAGCCAGAACCTTCTCTGGGTTCACTTCAATTCCTTTCTTGGATACCACGTACCCTAGGAATTTTCCTGATTCTACAGCGAACGTGCACTTCAGAGGGTTCAGCTTCATTTGGGCTCGGCGTAAATTTTAAAAGGTCTTATTCAGGTTGTCTATATGGTCCTCAGCTCTCACGCTGGTGACTATCATGTCATCCACATACACTTCTATGTTTCTGCCGATCTGGAGCTTAAAGATGATTTGTACCAGCTTCTGATATGTAGCGCCAGCATTTTTCAGGCCAAATGGCATCATCACATAGCAATAGATAGCGTCACCAGCGTAGAAAGCTGTTTTCTCCTGATCGTCCAACAGCAACTGAACCTGATGATAACTTGAGCTGGCGTCAAGGAAACTCATCCGTTCGTGTCCGGCTGCCCGTTCTACTAACTTCTCAACATTGGGCAAGGGATGAGGGTCTTTTGGGCACGCCTCATTGAGGTTGGTGAAATCAATGCACATCCTCCACTTGCCATTTGGCTTTTTGACGAGAATGGGGTTAGATACCCACTCGGAGTACTCCACTCTCCTGATGAAGCCTGCCTGTAGCAGCTTTTGTATCTCCTCATCTATGGCAGCTTGTTTCTCTGGGCCAAAAAGGCGATGTTTCTACACTACCGGCCTTCTGGTGGGATCTGTGCTGAGTTTGTGGACTGTCAACTTCACCGAGATGCCGGGCATTTCATTAGTAGTCCACGCGAACATGTTTTGATTGACCCTCAAAAACTCCAGAAGCTCTGCTCGTTCTTCTTCCGTGAGCTTGGTGCCGATCTTGACTGTTCTTTTTGGTACATCAGGGTTTAAAGGAACGGTTTCTACTGGCTCTACCGGCTTTGCTTTCTGCTCGACATCCTCAGGTCGATGCTCAATGTCTGATATACTCACTGTTGACCGAGCTGGGTTGGCTTGCGACCTTCAGCACTTGTCGGAGCTGCAGTGAGCTCGACCTTCTTGAACGTGTCTTGATAACAGGCCCTAGCCATCTTCTGATTCCCTTTTAGCACTCCTACCCCCTGTGGAGTTGGGAATTTCATGCAGAGATGGGGCTGTGAGATAACAGCCTTCAGCTCGCACAGGGTGGCTCTTCCTAATATAGCATTAAAAGCTGATTCCATCTTAACGACTAGGAAGGTGACAGAAGCCATTCTGAAGCGCGGTTCTGAGCCCACATATATGGGAAGAGTAATAATTCCCTCGACCGGGACGGGCTGGTTATCAAACCCGTATATGGGCCTTTCATACTTCTGCAGTGAGCCTGGATTCAGCTGCATCTTTTGAAAACAGCTCCAATATAAAATATCTGGCGAGCTGCCAGTATCAATAAACACCTTATTGACATTATGATTGCCTATATGAACCATTGCCACAAAGGGATCTGCATGGGGCATCATAATGTCAGGCTCTCCTTCTGCTCGTTTGTAATCTGCCGGGCTGAATGTGATAGGCGTATTCTCCCATTCTGCTTCCTCAAACGGCCGCTTCAAGGGTTTGTTTTTGTTGACAGTCATCACCTGTCGGGCATATGCCTTGCGAGCTTGGGCGCTTTGGCCCCCAGAGTGAACACCACCCGATATCATGTTTATTGTACCCGAGGGCGGGGGTATCCCAGTATAGCCTACCCCTTTCTTATTTTTTTGGTTCTGGGCAACAACTCTCTGCCCCTGTCCTCTCCTGTTGAATGGACGTCCTCGGTATGCTCTGCTCTGCTCAGAAGGATACGTGTTATCCTGATATACATCCTGCGTCACGCCGTGCTGGTACCTCTGCCCTTGAGGTCGGTCGTACGCCTGTACAAAATGGGTTTGAGTGGGTTGCTGGGTGTGAGGCTTTTAAACATACCCTTCTAGCTTCCCGTTACGAGCCAAAAACTCTAACTCGTCCTTCAAGTGTTGGCAATCCTCCGTATTGTGACCATATACACGGTGGAGTCACAATGCTTGCTCTTGTCTGCCCTCGGGGAATCATGCAGTGGGGGTGGAGGTCTCCTAACCCAGTGCTGGATTTGTGCCAGGATTTGAGACCTAGGTAAGGTCAAAGGAATGTAATTGGCATACTTCGGGAACTCAGCTGGTTTCCCCCATTGCTCATTGACCTTCTGCTTCTTCTTCTCTTCTCTTCTCGATTGTTGCTCCTAGCCTTTGCTCGGCTTATCATCAGCTTGTCGCTTTGACGACTGAAAGTCCTCTAACAGTATGAAGCTGGCCGACCTGTCATTCACCTCGTTCCACGTCTTCGGTGGGTTTTCAAGCAGGTCGTCTAGGAACCGGCCACGCTTCAACCCATGCAACAGGACGGACAGGCAGATCGTGTCTGGGACATTATTAATGTCCAAGGTGGCTTTGTTGAACCGCTGCATGTAATCCCTCAAAGACTCCCCTTCCTTCTGGTTAACTTGCATCAGCTCAGTTGCTGTACGCTTGATCTCCCTTTGGCTCGCAAATTTGTTAGAAAATAGCTTGGCGAGCTGGGAAAATGAATTTATTGAATGTCTGGGGAGTTTGTGATACCATCTCCTGGCTGTTGACTTGAGTGTTGCTAGGAACACTTTGCACATCATGGCATCATTGGCGTTTTGGATTCTCATGATGGCTTGATAGGTGTGCAGATGTTCATTAGGGTCGCCTGAGCCATCATATGTCTCCAGGTGGGGAATTTTAAATCCCTCTTGATACGGCTCTGCCGTAATGGATAAGTTTAGTAGTGCACTATCTAAATCCAGAGTCTGTTGATGTGACCTGGGACTTTTCAGCTCGTCAATAGACTTTTGTACGTCTCGCAGCTGTCTTTCAAGGTCTGCGTTCTTTCTCATCAACTCTTCACTATGTTTGGACAAGCTGGGCTCGATATTCGACTTCCCGCTTCCCCTTGGCCTGGTTGGCACTACTATGTTACTAAGAGCGGGGGAGTTTCGAGTTGTAACAACCGCAGCCGGTTGTGCATCTATGTTCAACAAAGGAATCAAGGGATCATTAGGAATTAAACGGGCAAGGATTTTACCTATTGTCATTTCGAGAACTCTGGTTCTCTCTTCGAGCTCTGTTGTCCGAGCGGGCTCTGTTAACCTTTCAGGTCGTTCACGCTGTGAATTGTACGGTCTGGCAGATCTTTGTCTTGTTCCTGTTGGAACTTGAAACTGTTCCGGCTGGGTTGCATACCCAGTTGGTGTTCTTTCATCATCTGTCTCACTTAGGTGATCCTGTTCGGCTCCCCCTACAAAAAGATTTCTTGGCGTTGGTCTAAAGTCATTCAGGCCGGGCTCAGACACGTGAGCGTCCTCCTGTTCGTCCATTTCATTTCTTGGAGGGCGACCTCCTGTAAAGGTACGGACCATTTTGTCTTTCAGCAGGTTAAATCACACAACTTCTTGTTCGAGTTTCCTACAGACGGCGCCAATGTTTGGGCAGCTTCACAATCCAACACTGTTGAAGTCTTCAACTGCTTCTACACCTGAAAATCCCGAGGATATTTCCTCGGGGAAAGCACTCCAACGCTCAAGTCAGTAATACTCGATATTCTAGAGAGAGATGTTCTCAAGGAGTAATTGCAGAGAGAGAAGCGTAGAGATTAATTACCTCTCTTGTTGGTGGTTGGGGGGTATTTATAACTCGAAATGCTGACATGCATCTCTATATGTGAGTAATTCATTGGCCCACGTGGTGTTGTCCACGTGGACATGTCTCCTCCTCTTGGACATGTCTCCTCCTCTTGGACCTGTGTGTGCGTAGTTGGGCCTGTTATATGTGGCCCAAAGTGGGCGTTGGGCCTAATCCCAACACATATTATATATGAGTCTATATTATATATGTTAATTAATTTATATAATTAATTAACAAAATTTATTTATAAAATAAAATTATAGTGAATGATTTTAACGAATAGAAGTAGAATTACACAAAATTTCAAATGCATGTGAACCGAGTCAAAGCTTCGCCAATATTACTGTTTATTATTTTAAATAATAGAACTTTTTTTTTTTTTAACGATGACTGTTCATGCTCATTCACAAGGACGCATTTCACACGAGGCTGAGCTCTAGACCCTAAACCCTGTCCACCGACGGTGTTTGATGCTGGTAATAGATGTACATTTCATCGGCCCAAACATTTTATTTCTGATTATTAAAAAAAAAATAAAAACTTTTTTTTATCTCTGATCAAACTGATCTTTCATGATTCGGTTAAGTAACATTAAATCTTAAGTTAATGCTGTTCAGGTGAATAACGTGTTTGAGCTATACGTAATTCATTTTTTCTCTTTTCATATATCTTTGTAAATAATGCTAAATTTTTTTATAACAAAAAAAAAAAACTGATCTCAACCAGAGTCACATGCTGGCATTTTCTTTCTTCTACGGGTCAATAATTGCTTTTCTGCATTGTTTTTCCCTGCTTTTGCCGAAAGTTGTTTACTGTTTACTG